TCTCTCTCTCTCTTTCTCGCTCCCTCTCTCACCCTCCCTCTCTTTTTTTTTCCTTTCCTCTCCTCCCCACCCTGGTGTTTGCAGTTTGCTTGCTCTCCCTCGATACAGGATAGACCGACGACGGCGGTGGCTACCACTAGAAGGAGCAAGTAACCTCCATCGCGAACTGAAACTGAAGCAATCGTGGATACAAGGGGTCCGTCCACGGCATCCCATCCTCCTATCTATCGTTTCGAACGTCCCCCTTGGACCCTCTCTCGTGCTCTCGCTCTGTCTCCGTCCCCCTTGTCCCACGCTTCTTGACCCTCTCTCTCGGTTTCTCTCGGCGTAAACCGTCCTATGCGCTTCCCTCCACGATCCTCCGGGAGTCTCCCTTACCCCCCCTAGCCGCCTCGATAGCCACTCTCCTATCGCACTACACGCTCGGCTACTATCTCGACTATTAATATAAAAGAGGGTTCCTCGACACTCGCCGCCCGGTAATTGTACGGCGTGTACCGCAACCGGACCTCTATCGCTCACTCGAATTTACGCGTACACTCGCGCTAATTCTTTCCTCCTCCTCCTCCTCCTCCTCTTTCTCCTCCGCCTACCCTCCGCCTTTTGATCCTCCGCTTCTTTCGAACAGTCGCGCATCTACCCCCTTTTTTATACCACCCTATCCTCACCTTCTTTCGCATCCTTTCGTTCAGTATCTACGATAATTAAGATATTTATTCATCTATCATTCTGATCGGTGATCTTTTGAGGCCGCTTTACCTTTGATCACTTTCCCCCTGTTCGAATCCGCGTAAACGTTCATCGACATTGATTTCATCAATTTCAATTGATTTCAAATGGTTTCGTCGTGATCGTTCCATCGACACAGTTGCGATCTGTGACAGTTTTATTTGCCTATTTTTTTTTTACCTTTTTCATTCTACGTGGAGATTTTTAGAAAGAATATGTCATCGAGAAATAATCAGAAGAACACGTATTATCCCTGTAAGGAAATTTCAATAATGCACACAAAGTGTTCCGTATCCACGGGACGCGTTTCCATGACGACGCAACATGGCGGACAGAAACACATGCACGTTGTATATATATATTTTTGTACTGAGCGCCGATTATGTTAGATCGTTGAAGTCAAATTATTCTTAATTCTCGCGAAACCCAGTGAACAATAATATAAAAATGTACAGAGGCGATCGGGTTTTAAGTTACAAAACTAAGAAACCAAGTCACGTAAGGAGACTGAACTTTGGCCAATCGAACTTAACCTCAAATGTGGTTAAGCAATTTCAGAAAGATGTACCGTTAATTGATAAAAACCTGACAGACGTACCATGTGCAGGAAAGAACGAACATAGTTGCAAACGGAGCGAAATGTACGTCAATTGTACAACAATCAAAACATCATATTGGTCACCCATTTTGGGTACATCTGTTACAGTTTCTGCGAGATCTTCGCCAATTTTAGGTAAGCAAACATCAAAGACTGTGCTAAACTTATACTTTCACGAAATTAACAAAGAAATATTTTTTCTACCTTCGAAGGTAGTGTGAAGCGTATGAAAGTAGATGATATCAACAAAAAAGAAAACATCAAGAGGAATCTATTTGAATTTCTACCAGATACAGTTCCTCCTAATGTTTCTCCGATACTTGGTGGAAGCTCGTATTCTCGTGAAAGAGTTAAAAGAAAGAACGAAAGAAACAAGTCGGAAAGGAAAGTCTTAGATTGTATTGAGAATATATGTACACATCATCCAACTGATACCACACCATTAATTTGTACCAAAGTATATAATAGACCAAAGAAATCTCCTATTTTGGATAGAAACTTTCATTACAAACACAAGCAAAAGAAGGAACAGAATACTTCAAATTTCAAAACGAATGCAACAAACTCTTGTGATTGTGTTAATAAAGAAATCTTTCAAAACAAATGGGGAATTTTATGCAATCAAAAGCAACACGCATCGACGACAGAATTAAAAGGTTGTTTTCAAGGTGATGTTTTAAAACATGAATTGGATTCGAGTATTTCAGAAGATTCTGTAACATCGCAGTCATCAATCTTCACAACAAAACTAAATATCGAGGATAGTCCTAAAGACGAGAAAATTGAAATTGAATCCAGTAACGAAGATTATGACAGCGACAAAAATAATATAAGCAACGATTCTGACAAAGAATCCAGCGTTTCTAATTCTATAGAAAAAGACACGGATATACAATATATAGATCCTGTTACTGGAAATCATAAACAAGGTCAAACATTTTCCTTTCATAAATTTACATCGTTACACTTGCCATCATCTAGCGGAGATTCGGATGACACGTTCTATTCAGAGGCGGAACAAGTTCAATGTCCGCTTTCCAACGTACGACGAATTTCTTCTCAAAACATTTCTCAAACTTCCTCACAGGATACAGATACGAAGTCGTCGACCCAAAGTGGAATTATTACTAATGCGAAAATATCTCCGGAAAAGACGCATGTAAACACGTCCATGATGCAATTAACTATTTTAGATTCTGTGAAAAAAAGAAGAAAACCAAAGCGGTAGTTTTGTTAAATATAGATCGCTACGAGCGTAATTTACTGTTACAAATTCATTATGTTTCTTTATCTTTTGTTGTAGGGGCAGTTTGGTAGAGAAACTACAGTCAACAGTTAATAGCCAAATATCGTTTACACGTATATGGAGACATCGATTAAAACAAGCGATAAAGCAAAACGTTTCTATGCTATCCGTTACCGTGTTTGTACGGACATGTGTAACACGCTTCAGCAGACAATTCTTGGAAGGAGTTGTTATCGAGGATCCATTCAATTTACTATTGCACGGAACAGAAAGCAATGTTGTCAAATCCATAAGCATCATGACGATTCCCGAGATTGCAGGTAGAATTGAAATGAAATCCAAAGGTCTAGTACAGATCTTTCCACCGTGGGAAACTCTAGACGACGAAAAATCAACATTGAATGTAACGTACATACGTGTTATACCTGATTGCGAAACAGACGGTCGACTGTACAAAGAAGATTTGCATCAGCCTAAAACATTGTTTGTTAAAGACTTTCATTGCCGGTGTATCGATAAGAACAAAATGTTTTCGGATTGCAGAGATCGGTTTAACAAACCAAATAGTATCGAAAAGCTATTTACCGATTGAGAGGACAAACACAGATATATTTGTCGACCAGATGTTATATATATATACAATATATTTTTGTTACAAAACATATCAAACGCAACGTGATATTCGTTAATATTGTTATTATAACTATTGTTAATTTATCTCGTTATTTTTTATTTTAATAGCGGAATTATGCAATTTGTTATCTATAATAAATTTGCTCTGGCGAATCGCTCGTCAAACGAAACTGACATTTCTGTTTGCGTACATTTTTGTATGCGTTTACTTTACCCTGTATCTGGCTCATTGCGTGCATACGAGTAAAGCAATTCGAGTATGCTATTAAAACGTAAATCGCTCGGTAGATGGCTGATTTTCGTGAAGTGCACAACGCTTCGCTTCGCTACATCCCGTAATCACAGACGAGGTATAAAATAGATCCGATATTCAACGCTTCGTGACCCACATTTTGGGGGATTACTTTATTAGTTTTATGTTACATTCGTATAATTTCAATTTAAATTAAAAATAAATTATCTTACAGTATAAATAAATTAATTATCTTACAGAATTATACATAATGTATAAAATATAACGTATAGAAAAAGCTCTCTTATAATCAGAAGTCAAATATAGCATTCTATGCGGCAATGCTTTTTTACTGGTATTATAATACAATTGATCTAAACAGTAATTCCGTGCAATAACTATTATATTCTTGTTTTTCGAGTTTTGATACTAATAAAAATGTGATTAGTACTTCATTTTTTAAATTATTGAATGAATATGATGTCTCGCTTTTATTCATAAAAGTTTAAGCTTGTTAAATAATAATTTTCTAAATGAAAAAACTTACTTCTATTATCCAAAAAAATATTGAAAATTGAAAAAATATTATTTTATTATTTGAAAGTAATTATGTAACGTACTAAATTTTCACGCACAATTTAGTTGATTTTGAACATGTAGTATTAATTTAGAAAATTAATACTGCACGTGCAATCTTACGCTACATGTTTGTTCATCTAACAACTTTTTAACAATGTTTAGTCTACTTTGACAAACAATTTTACTCCAAAATTTAGTTTGCGAAAAATTAAATATTTTATCGAAATAAACAAAAATGTTTTGATCTATTAAATACAGAATTTCCAAATTTTTATTTATCTGTAGTTCCAAACGGAAATGATCAGATGGCAGTACCATCCACAAAAACCCTTAGAGAAAAGTAGATTCTACTGCATCATCTAATCAATGTAATGCTACGCGGTATTAATGTTATGATATATTTTACAAACTTTCACGTGTGTAATATTTATTTTAACAATATCATTGACTAGCCAATGAAAATATATATTAAATAATTGGAAGCATTGTTGGACCGCTGCAAATCGTAGAGGGCGTGAATAACATTGGTTTTGTAGGTACCATGGTCGGTAAAGTCGTTGCTGTGTTCCAGAGTACCCACAAATGTTAACGATATTTGATATAATGTATGGAAAGATAAAATATACTTCCAAGTATAGGTATATATTTCTTTTGTCTACACACTGGATTTTCACAATCTCTCGCTCCACATGCTTCGTAATGGAATCGTTCTGAGAAAGTCGATGGCACAAGAAAGAATGAGGGTGTTTTTTTAATGGTAAAAAATAAGAAGCTTTTTGCCGCGCTTTTGATTATTTCACCTCACAAAGGTGGCGTTGTCCGTCTCGGACAATGGAAATTCACCTTTCGACGATTGAGCGAAAGTAGGTGTCGCTGCAACACCTTAGGTTACACTCGACGTCGTTATAGTTTTCCTTCAGGTCGGTATTTCAGAAACATGAAGTTCCACGTAACGTCTTGTCTATACTGTCGTTAGTCAATGCCGTAATATCGTTAGTATTTCTCTTCTTTGTTTGTATTGCTGCCAACAATTTTCTGTCATCATTCTCTTGATTTTATGCATTCCAAAGGAACGCAAAACGAAAATATCTAAAACGTAAGCATTTAACGCTATTACTATTCTATCCTATATTTTTGTCTATCCTATTTTTTTGCCTATCCTAATCTCTTATCATTTCGACATTTTGACATTTCATTTCTATCATAGTGACTATTATAACATGAACATTTACTGAATAATTGTTTTGTATCTATGTTATCACTTTACTTTGCCATGTCAAAGATTGTTTTAGACAACATAACCTAACCTAACTTAATCTAACAAAATCTGACACTTATCTAAACGCGCGTTGCTTCCCTACAGGAATAATAATGTCAGTATCTCAAGATCGGCCAGAACTTTACGAAGAAGTAAAGCTGTATAAGAATGCTCGAGAAAGAGAGAAACATGATAATCAAGCCGATTTGTATGCAGTTGTAAATACGTTGCAACACTTAGAGAAAGCTTACATTAGAGATTGCGTGACTCCGAAAGAGTATACAGCTGCCTGTAGTAAATTGTTAGTGCAATATAGAGCGGCTTTCAAACAGGTACTGTAGAATCTCGCGAGAAACTTATCAGTCTTGTCTCATACGTTAAAGATTCTCATCTCTTGTACGTTTAGGTGCAAAGCGATCAATTTCCTACGATAGATGCATTTGCCAGAGCATTTCGATTAGATTGCCCAGCCGCGCTCGAGAGGATCAAGGAAGACAGACCGATTACCATAAAGGACGACAAAGGAAATACATCCAAATGCATCGCAGACATCGTTTCCTTGTTTATTACGCTAATGGATAAATTACGACTCGAAATCAAAGCAATGGATCAGTTACATCCTGATCTAAGAGACCTGGTGGACACCATGAATCGCTTGAGCATATTACCGAGCGACTTTGATGGGAAAGAGAAAGTCGCTGAGTGGTTGCAGACACTTAGCAGTATGTCCGCTTCCGACGAATTGTCCGACACTCAAGTCAGGCAGTTGATCTTCGATCTGGAGACATCTTATAACGCTTTTAACAAAATTCTTCACAACTCGTAATGTCAGTGACTCATTTCACGCTGTATTGATTGCTGGTTTTCTCGATCGTACATCATGAACGTGACTGTTCACCTCCGAATGCTCGGTATCGTTGAGATTACGCAAAGAGATCTATTTTCTATGCGATCCTTTGTGATACTACGATTATATGATAATATAATGATGATATAATGGCAAATGTAATATATAAATATATAAATCAATGTACATATGGTATTAATCGAAAAATAAAATTAATTATAGGTGCTTCTTATTACGTTGGCTATTCAGTGAAGAAATTAATACGCGATCCTTGCAGTCAGTCAACTGTAACCTTATTTTCAATTTAACTTTTCAAATTATTTGAA